TAATCTGGTATTCCTTATCTAACTCCGGGACCAGTCTCATGTCAGAAATTTTCTCTCATTTTCTCTCCCCCCCCATCTCTCTCTCTCTCTCTCTATCACAGACTCAGAAGTAAATTAGGATGCTGCATTCGATTTTACAAAATGCTCTAAGGCTGATTTAAAAGTATCTCGTTTGTTTTCTCCAAATTTCAACAGGAAGCTTATTGAACACACACGCGCTTCTACATTTTCGATGAGCTTGAGATGGTCAGGATATAACGGTGTGTCTGGTAGCGGGGTTGAGCAGCTTATATAGTCCAAATGATCCTAAATTGATCTGTTAGCAAATGTTGTGGTGAATAATGTCATGCAGTTAACATGACCATTTTTTTTGAAGTAGGATATGTAGAATTTTCCTATCTTGGCATTTCATCGTTGTACAGTTTGTACTACGAAAGCGCATGACTTCATTAAGGTCCTTGTTGGCAGAAAGAACTTGTTTGGCTTGAGTATTGGGAAAATAGTTTATATGGCTGGAAAGCTTGAGGGAAACCGATATCCAATTTAGATGGGCGTAACCAACGTAATACATCCCATGATAGCAGTGATTTGTGATTTTATTGTATAAGGTTCACGAACAGCACTGCACTTCATTGGAAAGTCGTTACTCGCAGTGCTTCCAACTGTCACTGTTACTGAGAGACATACCGTAGGGATAGAAGGAGAAAGGGAACTTAGGCTACGATCGACATTGTTCTTTGGCTAAACCCTTTTTTTCCAGGGCAGTTATGTTATGAATTATAGCTTCTTTGACCTTTTGTTAAATATTATCAAACATGAATAACACACCAGGAACACCTTCCACGCACACACGCCAAACACACTAGAAGTACACCATAACCATCACCATTCACACAAACTAAACAAATCTTCAAACAAATAAGAAATCAAGCACAGTAGATGTTCTCACGCGAACTCCGATTGAGGGAGGGTATCGTGTACGCAACGTGTTATAATACTGAAATTTTGAAGCCAGTCCAGATGCGCTAAACTCTGGTGATGAGTATATGTAGTGGAATGAATGTGGGAGGCTGGGCGATTGAAAATGGCTCTGGAACTAGGTCTGTGCCTGTGTTTGACTTGTGAAATCCCGACTTGAAAGTATGACCAAAGTTTAGTCCTTCGTTGATCTTTGCTCCAAATCCATTTTTTTCTTATCACGCCACTGGAATACATTCAAACGGCGCCTGGCCATGGACAACCTGCGGTAAATTTTCACGATCCGTCAGTAACTCTTCCCCTTAATCCTGACAAACCGTTATATAAATAAACAGCGAATGTAATAAGAGCAGTGATACATCGAGAATCATAATATTAACAACAACAATAAAAAATAATTAAACAAACATCATTAATACCATGAATCCATACAATTATATACCTTAGGAATACCAGATTCTGTCGTTGCTGGGATTGGGATGTTTATAACGTAGGCAAAAACCAGATAAAACATATGAAAACAAGATAAGATAAGAGTCATGAGTAATAAGACACACTGCCCATTCTGTAGTGTTACTGTGGTTCCCATAAGAGCGTGCCATCTGCTGGCCTGTTTAGAATTGCACTACAGCAGTAAGTAAATATATTTCCTTCTCCCATAAGCTTGTATAAATTGATTTTTTTTTCTTTTAGGGGGGGGGGATGCTAATAGTTGGGGGATGTGATATTCAAGTATTTTTCATAGATTAGTTTTTTTCTTTAAATTGATATAAGATGTTTTTTTGAGATCACTAATATTTGGTGTTTTGACCAGCAAGAGAGAAGAGGTTGTTGTAGGAGCATTATTTTAATTGGTTAAAATATTCAAAGCGTAAGCTGTCATAGCAATAAGTTTATTTTGATCTACCAGATTAGATCGAAAGTGTTTAAAGTGTTTATATTAAATGACCATGACCTATAACGGTTTAAAGCATAACTGTTAGACGTAAAAGCGCCCTTTATTATGTACTTCATGCGCCAGTATAGAACATTAATTTGATACTTGATATTGGGGCTTGAAAGTCATGCACGACCTCTTAGTGCTTACTCTCTCTCTCCCTATCTTTCTCCCTGTCTCTGTCTCTGTCTCTCTATATTTTTTTTTCTCTCTCTCTCTCTCTCTCTCTCTCTCTCTCTCTCTCTCTCTCTCTCTCTCTCTCTCTCTCTCTCTCTCTGACGTGCCAGAGACTCCAGTAATTCTCTATTGCAGAAAATGGCATCACAAAGTTCACCAGTCTGTTGCTCTGTGTCCTCCCTCAAAGTTGCCACCATCGTCCTCGGCTCCATAGGGCTTGTAAGTAACACCTCTTCTGTCTTTATTAACAAGCATTGGATGTTATTAATGGCAAACGCCTTGCATGCTTGGTTTCGCCGTAGGTTGTATGTTATTTATTCTAGAATATGTGGGTACCTTATATGCATGTACATCTGTACGCACCAAACTCAAAACAGACATGATTATACCAAGGTTTAAATACATATATATAACTTTAAACTCTGGGTTAGCTTGGCTTCATAAAAAACTCGTCGTGGACAACATATTATCATACACCTTTTCCTATTCTCAGTAGGCTAGTTTTTCATTCTCCTGTTTCATAGTTTGATGCCACTCACTAATTTTCTTGATATCCCGTTAAATAAAATATGATTTGACAAATGTCATTCCCGACACCACGATCCTTTTGAAACAAGTGATTTATAGTTTAAAGCATCTTTGGTTGAATAAAGCATACTTGAAGTTGAACTTAAAAATATCTGAAATGCTACTTAATAGAACTTTTAAAACAATCTTAATCAAGTTATATCAGAGTGAAACAAGAAAATTACGATTATTTAGTTAAGCTGTCTTAGAATAAACGGTTCTTTTAAATTGGGCTTCCGTTATTTGAAATCAAACTTCAGGTATTCTGATTTCAACTCCAGATGTTTTATCTCATATTTCAGCTATTTTCAATCAAACGGTTTAATTTAAAGCTCAGTTATTTTAACCTGATGCTAAAAAAAGTGTAGATTTCTGTGCATAAACCTCTTAGTGCTTAATCAATCTCTCTCTCTCTCTCTCTCTCTCTCTCTCCCTAGATTACCTTCATGATAATAATGATGATGATGATGATAATGTTGATGTTGACGTTGATATTAATGTTCATTTTTCTGTTACTGTTACTGTTACTGTTAATGTTAATGTGATAATAATAATGATAATAATATTGGTGCTATTGATGTTGATGTTGATGTTGATGTTTTTTTTTTATTTATCTAAGATTGATTTAATCGATTCCTTATCGTCTCTCTTCTTGCCAGTTACTTACTAATTAATCATTTTTGTCCATTTAATCGTGTTTAGCAATTTACTTCATTTTCTATAAGAAAAAAAAAACACGTTTAACTCTGTTTACATCATTTGAGTTTGAATTTTTGCAGTATTTTTTAAAAATACAAAGATCACACCTTCAAATTAATGCTGAATATATGACAAATACACCGTTTTTAAGTCCGCTTGTAATTTGATAATCCACATTATCTTCATATATATTTTCGTTTGGTTTCCACATACAAAAAAATCACAACTTGCCTCCTCTATCAACGGAGCTAAAAAATCATCATTGTTGATACTTGCTCCACACGCAAAAAAAAAAAAAAATAGATGAATAAATCAATCAATCAATAAATAATAATAATAAAAAATAAAAAAGACGCACTCGGAAGAATGCTGAACTCAGATCCACCCCAGCCACTCCACCTTCCCTTCCACTCTGTTTCCTTCCACTGAGGGTTTTTTTCTCCCACGTGATTTCAGGTTCTCTGGCCCACTGCCATTGGTTTCACCTGCGGCTATGGCTTCTACGCTCTAAATGGATGTAAGTGAAGCATGTTCGTTCGTATTCGTTCGTACGTACACATACTTGTACATAGTTCAGAAACACAACAAACAGTCATAATTTAAGTGAAGTCATGAGAGCCCGTCACGCCATAATAATAATAATTATTATTATTGTTATTACACACGCACACGGAGGTACACACAGCTAACATACACAAACTCACATGCACAAACACACACACAAACACATACAAACATAAATACGCACATGGATGCACTAGCCTTCTTATACATTGCAATTATAACTCCATAAATAAAAACAATCATTATCGTAACATGCCTTTTGTCTCTCTTTCAGATTATCCAACTCCATTGGGATCAACGATGTTATCGATCATGATCATAGGAGTCAATATTGCTTACATATACCTGACTTCCCTCATCATCTTCAAACTCACAGTAAGCAACGTTTTAGTAAAGCCTTCATTCACCCATTGTGAAATCCTGTCTTTAGTATATATAAAAAGAATGTGAAAATTTATTTTGTAAGATAATGCCTTTTTCTCTCTCTCTCTCTCTCTCTCTTTTTTTTTTTTTTGTAGATTTTTTCATCACAATTTTTCGCTTAACATAGCTGAGAAAGATATATATATATATATTTTTAATTATTTCAGTTTTGAAAGATAATGATAATAACGACGAAGATGTTTGTGATTATCATATTAAAGTAACCATAATAAGCATGGTTGTCAATAATAGAGATAATGGTAAAGATTCTAATTACAATTATTGTAATGACTATCGTTATTGTGATTAATCACTGGCGTAATTATTATTATTACAATCATTAATGTTATTACAATGGTCGTTGTAGTTATCTTTTACTGCAGTTATTGTCATTGATATCATTCTGATTACTAATATCATTGTAGTCATTACTGCTTACATAATCATGAGAATGCTATTGTTATTATCAATGTATCTATTTTGTCAATATCATTATCATTATCATCATATAATTATTATTATTGTCATTCTTACTTGTATTAGCATAACCTTCATGATTATCATTTTTATCAATATTAATTTCATCATTCTTGTTATGATCATAACCATAATAATTATTATTTTCTTAATTATCATTGTTTACAACTGTAGCCCTTGGTAATTCTGATATCGTTATTATTTTCATTTGTTTATTATCATTCGTCACCATCATCATTGTGCCGTTTTTATTATCGTCATTCTTTCTACTATTTATCATTTCTGTTTTCATCCATCCTCATTATACCTGTTAACTTTATAATTATCCCCGCATACCCCCTTTCTGAATGCTATTTCCCTTGTCACCAGAACTATCATCATCATTTCTTACCCCATAAACGAAGCGGCCTTTTTTTTCCAGGAAAGTTCTCAATTAACCCCTGAAGTGATCCAGTCTGTGCGGAAAAACACTGCCCGTTTGGTGGCCTTCCTGTTGATCGGGTTTGCAGGCTGGGTGAATAGTGTCGTGTGGTTTGCCATGTACGGGATATACTGGGATGGTTGGTTCGTCTACGTCACACTCTTCAGTTGTAGCTTCTCCTTCGTGTGGACTACGGTGGTAGCAGCTGTGGCCGGGTCGCTCACGCACATGGTAAGGGTTGTTGGGTTTCTTATAACCTTTGCTTTTCTTCGCTCTCTTTTGGGGATATACGAGACCCTTTTATTGCTGAACGGAGCGTCTAACTCTCTGTTTCCCTTCACAGTATGTACCGGTGTATGAGCAGGCACCCCGAGATCTTTCTCAGACTTACGATCCTAAAGGCCGGTTCGGAGGGGAGGTTTCGACCAGGTACGAGGGACGCCCTAAGGAACCTATCTACGCGCACCCCAATCGTAATCGAAACTCAGTCGCCGCCCCTGTGCACGGCCAAGTGGCTCCCTGGGCCGATCACATGTAGTCACTTGCTTCATCTTTTTCTCCTCCACGTTAAGCGCAGGGTCTTTTTTTTCACTATTGTTAGATAATTCTTCAGATGTGTTATTTAGATGATTGCTTCTGCTTCTCTCTATCTGTATGCATTTTGTCAGTGTGTTGCTTTTACGATATGTGTGTTATGTAAGTTACAGTTAACATCACTACCACATGAATATTGTTGGATGTAAAACGCAGATTACTATCTCCTTGCTTGATACATTATTATTACATATATTTTTTAATAGGACTGATGGAAACGACATTAATTGTATAGGTAAAATGCTTAGTAAAAAGATAACAATAGCTTTTTTTTATATCTCATAATACCTTGTTACACCAAATCGTGGACATTTTCGTAAACATTAGCCGGGCTTCCTATCTCCAAGATCTACGTTGATTCTGTTACAGGAGTGATATTCAAGTTATTTTATATTCAAATCACAAGCAGATTCTATGTAAATAAATGTTAAACTTCTACCTCGGATTTGTTTTTTTTTCATGAAAAAAAACTGCACCGATACCCAATTGTATGTAGAAAGTTACGTTTACACCGTCTTTTTCTTCTTCATTTTTTTCAGTCGGATTATATGTACATAAATCAATATATAGTAAAATTATACTTAATCCAGACTGTATGTTGATATGATCATTGAAAATAAATTATACATGTGCCTATTTTCTTCTTCTTCCCTTTTTTATTTATTCCTCTGTTTATTTTTTTGAGACCAGCATTCTAGGACGAAAAAATGGAGCAAAATTGTCCTTTAGAATATGAACTATCTGTTATATTCTCAAATATTTGTAATAATATCAAATATACGCAAGCCGGGTTCGCCCAGAAAACGCGCCCGTTTTGAGAATTCCAAGCTCGTTTATATACCTTAAAAAGAGAAAATGGAGATACAGTACTTTGCCTATTCATTGGAAAAAAGCTGTTGGTTACAGATATTCATAACTCTCAAAAACCTACAAATTGTGTGATGAGAGTACTTTTATATGAGGACAGTGAAGATAAACTGGAAAGAAATTAAAAGTTAGGTTACCAAGTTTCAAATGCGAATACCTGTCGAATCTCGGTACCTTGTAAGTTACGCCAAGGAGAGGTTTAAGTGGTACCACTATGCTTGGGGGTATCGCATGGTTCCCAAAAGCTTAAAAAATACCCATAAAGTAGATCAAAGAGGGATCTAAGAGGCATTTAATAATTGGCACCGGTTATCTAGTGACGCCAAGTTTTAAATCATTTGTAACGTTCTTTTTATTTGCTAACAAATATGGTAGAGAGGTAAGAATCTTTCCAAGAAGCTAAAAATCTAATCGAGGCCCACATTTCTCTTGTTAAAAGCCATGAAATCTTAGATGGGAATTTTAATTACCTAATAAGCAACACCGTGGTAAAGGATAACTGGTACAAGCAACAGCAGATTGAAACTGTGAATAGGCACTAAAAGGAGGCTGATGAATATCGTGCTTAAAGCAAATTAAAGAATGTTATAAATTGGACTTGTTGTAAAGAGCTGAAAACGTGAAATTGTGATTCAATAATTCATCTTACTGAGTGTTTTCTACTAATTATATTATCGTCTATTAACAAACTAAGAAAATGGATTTTGTTTTGCATTTGCGTACAATTCTGTGGTATGAGGATCCTCGCAGGCAATAATTGGCCTTAACCCGCCCTTGGGAAATCGAAAATCAAATA